ATGTGATTTCCTTTTTTGGATATACATCCAGCAGTGAAATTACTGGATCATATAGTAGATCTATTTTTAGTTTTTTGAGGAACCTTTATACTGTTTTCCATAGTAGCTATACTAGAGCCTGGCATCTATACAGGATTCCTTATGAGCCAGTCTTAATTTTTTTTTTTTTTTTTTGAGTTGGAGTCTCACTCTGTTGCCCAGGCTGGAATGCAGTAACACGCTCCCAGCCACCGCAGCCTCGACATGCTGGGCTCAGGTGATCCTTCCACCTCAGCCTTCCAAGTAGCTGGAACTACAGGCATGCGGTACCACACTCGGATAATTTTTTTTTTTTTTAATTGTAGAGATGAGGTCTCGCCAAGTTGCCCAGGCTGGTCTCGAACTCGGGCTCAGGCAATCCTCTAACCTCGGCTGCCCAAAGTGCTGGGATTTATAGGTATGAGCCACCGCACCCAGCCTAGCAGTCTTTTAATTTTTAAAAACTGTCCACACCATTCTCCTTTCCTGCCTGAACTCTTGTGTTCATCTCACAGAGCAAAGCCTGGAGTTGGGCCTCAGAATCCTGGAGGGGATGAGAGGGTTGTTAAAAGCCAGTTTCTGGTGCCCTAGGTAGCTCTGTGTTTTCCTGCCTTGTGAGTGTGCAAAGTTTAGGTTGAGGTCCATGGTGTTTGCCTGATTTGCATCTTGTAACAGGCTTGTTCCAGCAGACTCAGACCCTTATCTGCCAAAGTGCAAGTAAGGATAAATTTTAAACTAGTTAATGTCACTTTAAAAATTCACTTTGTTCATTTTTTGCCAGATTACAACTGTACTTTGTGATATACTTTTTAAACATAGCAATATGCAAAAGGTCATCCCTGATACTGTCTTTTGCATGTATACTTTTCTAAAATTCACTCCAGGTGGCAGTCTTTCCATTTCTCCCTCTCCTTGACCCACATGTTGACAGCCTGGTATTGTCCTTTGGAGTTTTTTCTGTGTGTTAATTTAATCAAATCAGACAGCTCAACACAGTGGCTCATGCCTGTAATCCTAGCACTTTGGGAGGCAGAGGAGAGAGGATAGCCTGAGCCCAGGGGGTCGAGACCAGCCTGGGGAACATGGCGAGACCTAGTCTCTACAATAAATCAAAAAATTAGCTGGTGGTGGTGCACACCTGTAGTTTCAACTACTTGGAAGGCTGAAGCGGAAGGATCACCTGAACCCTGCGGGTCGAGGCTGCGGTGGCCCTGAGCATGCTACTGCACTGTAGCCTGGGCAACAGAGTGAGACTCAGACTCTAAATAAATAAAATCAGATAATAACACCTTGTCCAGCAGCATCCAGCTCTGAGCCAGGCCTGTTCTGAGCACTGTTCTCTCACTAACCATGTCATCTTAAAGCCCTCAGAGGAGTGTGTCATCACCCTGATTTATAGGTGGGAACTCAGCACATCTGGCCCAGGTCCCTGTGACACACACACACCCTTTGTGGCTTTGGAGTTACAGTTTCAGCTGACCCTATTTTGCATTTTCACTTACCCATCTGGTAGACTGGTATAATCTTTCTCTTCAGCAGGTGTTTGAAATGTGTGTGGAAGGACTGTGGTGGCATTCGCCTTGGCACCATCCTTGAATCTGTACCTTCACCTGCATCCATTTCTGTAGTGTCTTATCTGATTCGCCTAAATACTGCCAGGTAGCCTTCCTGAGAAAGAGTATGAGAAACTCCACTGTCCCATCCCTGCCACTGTCCCAACACCAGTGGCAAATGTCAAACCCTTACTTGTTGCTGTTCCATAAGGTGTAAAGTGTGATCTCATTGCTCCTTTAATTTTAATCATTCATTGAACAAAAAGTGACTACTGGCTACTCTGATAGGCCTGCTTGTTGGCCTGCAGGAAGGGATATGGGGCTGGATGGGGCAGAGGCCTCTGAGAGAGGGGTGGGGAGCACAGGTAGAGGAATAAGGGGCTGCAGGGCACCAAGGAAGATCATGAAGTTTGAGGCAGACTCATAGAAGCCAGTGGGAAACCTTGAAGCAGTGGAAAGTCATATTCCTGTGGGAGAGCAGATGAAGGGGCTGGGCAGATTCAGGACCATGCTGGGGAGCTGCTGGCATCTAGGGGCAGGGAAGGTGGGGTGGATAACATGGTCAGGTTCTGGATGTGCTTGGAAGATTAGAATTGGAATGTGAGAGTTAGGAGGAAAAGAGATTGGTGTACAGGTTCACAAATTGAGCTGGGGGCAGAAATGGTGGTGGAGGGCGTGCTGGGTTTGGGATGTTAAGTGTCTGAGATGCTGTAAGACATCCACATAAGATGTTGAGTCAAGCCAGGCTCGGTGGCTCAGCCTGTAATCCCGTGCCTTTGGGAGGCTGAGGTGAGTGGATTGCCTGAGCCCGCGGGTTCGAGACCCGCCTGGGCAGGCGAGACCTCATCTCTACAATAAAATAAAAAAATTAGCCGGGTGTGGTAGCGCGCACCTGTAATTCCGGCTACTCGGAAGGCTGAGGCAGAAGGATCGCCAGACCCCAGCCGGTCGAGGCTGTGGTGGCTGGGAGCGGCCACTGCACTCTAGTTTGGGTGACAGAGTGAGACTCCAACTCAAAAAAAAAAAAGTTGAGTCAGAGGGAAGAGATTGCCAGCTCAAAGTTACCAAAAAGGAGCCTCCTGGGTTCACCTGAATATTCAGACTTGAGGGATGGCCCCATTTGGCACCAGGTTCACAGAAAACCTGGCATCATCCAACAGCCATCCCAGGAGTACTCAGGTAGGCAGTCACAAAATACAGGCAGGGACAGGAGCAGGAATTGGCTTGGCCCAAAGCCTCAAGACCATACAAGCTAACACCTGTGTCAGCAGGGCAGGCTGGAGACTTGCTCAGGAGGCCCTGAACATGGTTCCTGTGGGTGTCCACCATTGGCTCCCGGGTCCAAGTATGGTTGGGGCCATAGTGTGAATGACCATCTGTCTCTACCAGGTTTCCAAGGGACCAGAGTTGTGCCTTCACCAAAGGTCAATTTTACATGCCAATGAGGATAGAAGGGTAGCCTGGCCATGCAAATGAGGAAGGGAGTGGTAGAGGGGGCACACTGAGAAGGCCCTACTGATGATACAATGTTCTGGAGACCAGTTGTGTCCCCACTGCTGGTGGTAAACAGATCATGGATTGATACTGGATTTGGCCATGTAGAGATCAAAGGAGACCCTGACCTGGGCCACTTCCTTCAGAGAGGGTGACATCCTGAAAGATGGTGCTCTCCCAGAGGAGAGGAAGAAAATGGAGACCGAAAGGAGAGAATTTGCTCCCACAGGATAAGCTGTGCATGGATAATGAGTGAAAATGGCAGGTCTGTGTGCTGGTGGGTAACTCACAAAAAGGGACAGTGTGGCAGGAGAGAAGGCACTGCTGCTCTTTGAGGGTGGGGCAGGTGTCAGATATGGAGAGTGGAAAGCAGAACAAATGAGACTACTGTTACTGCTCACACTTAATCTTTACTTAATCCAAAATTGGTTATTGCATATCCAGATGGGATACACAAAAGTTATTAAATGAATCATCAATTTCCCACTGACCTGGAATTTACAACTTTTGTCGTCTTTCAATTTCCCAAATATACCTATCTGGCCTCCTCCATCCCTCTGTGTGATTATAGCAGCTTCCTTTCCATTTTTGGTTCTGATATCTGCTGCAGTGGGCCCCCCCCACCGCCATTCCTTCCAATTTCATTCTTAGCTATGCTCCAGCATCCATTGTTCATATGAATTCAAAGGTAGTTCTATTCACTCCTTTAGAAAAGATTTCTGTTAGAATTCTAATTAGAATTGCACTATAATTACACATAGAGAAATGTGCACATTCACACATTTGGGAGGAATACTTCTGGAGAACAGCAGCACTGGGGAGGTTGAGAGTCACCCTCTCTCTACTCGGAGTCTCCCTCCTGTTCTTTAGAGGCAGCTGTTGTTAGTTTATCGTGTATCTTCCTGAAAGTTTCCTGTGCAAAATACATATATGTGATGTTTTATAAAGACAATGGTGTTATGATATCCCTTGACTTCTGCCCTCAGGCCCCTGTAACAGACTCATCTCCTCAATGCTCCAGACTGTGTATGTGTACCCCATCCTGTATAGAATCAAATGTGTCAGTAGAGCTCTTGTCCCCCACCTTTTCCCCAGCTATTTGAGTGTGTGTCAGATACCTCAGCTTACTCTGTCCTGGTACTTCCTAGCACCTTCTCACCTCCAGGCATCTTCTCACTTGGTGGCAAGTCTTCCTTCAGGTGCTAAGAAAAGATCCCTGGGTCACGTGGACTCAATTTACTCAGAACTGACCACTTCTCCTGCCTCTGCTGCCAACAACACCGGTTGAGCCACAGAGTTGAGAGACCTTGCCACATCAGAGCACCAGGGCTGCCAGAGGATGTTGGGGCATGACTGAGGACTGGGAGGTGGGGTCCAGTTCCCATTCTGAGAACTCTCTTCATTGGGAGAGTGTTTTGGGAGGAAGCTTGGCCTAATGCTCATATCTCCCACATTACTTGGTGACAGTCTGGTACCTATGTGTCTCGAGTATAGAACTTGCAGGTCCCTGGTGAGCTGGTGTCTTTGTAGGGAACAGGACCATGGGCCAGGGTCAAGGTGAACTGGAGAGTGAAGGTTTGGGACCCTGAACCCTTGGGAGGCAACAGGCGCCTTATACCTGATATTTAGAGATCCTTGACACCTGTTAAACAGGACCTTCCTGGGACAGCCGAGAGTCCAGCACTGACTGGCCAGGCCCAAGAACCATGTGTTCAGGGGCAGAACAGTCTCCTGAACTACAGGTTTGAAGTTCATGGGAGAGGTGGGACAGAGCAAGGCTGCAGCAACTGGAACTCCTTGGCCTCACCTTGGCATGCCCCTCACTGACTCTTTGCACAAGACTATGGAATCCCCTGAGGCTTCCCAGGGAAGTCAGGTATGCTAGAGACAAGACTGGGCTCTTCACGTGCCCCCTCTTCTTCCTCAGGCCACAGGTTCTGATTTCCATGGTTCTCAGAGGTCACAGGAGACTAAGTGATGGCAGCAGCCAGCTTTCTGCCACTACCAACAGGACCCCAGGTGAGCTGTCCCCAGGGCCTGGCAGTGCCCCCAGCCAGAGTCCCTGTGGTTTTTTCCATACCTATGACGTTCACTGCATCTCCTAAACTCTGTGGCCCCTTCCCTATTGTCTCCCTGTGGCTCACAGGGCCTCCAGGTCCTGACTGTCACATGCACCCATGTCGAAGTTCAGTCTTACCCACAGCAGTCCCTGTTGTTCCAGGCCAAAGTGACCTTCGAAGATGTGGCTGTGCTACTCTCCCAGGAGGAATGGGACCGCCTGGGCCCTGCTCAGAGGGGCCTCTACCGAAATGTGATGATGGAGACCTACGGGAACGTGGTCTCACTGGGTAAGGCCCTGCAGCAGGCCTGGTCCATGTATCTATATATGTTAGACTTGAACAGGGGCTTCCCACTGGTGGGGACCTGGGGCAGGTTGCTCCTGGAGGCTCGTTCATCACCTCCCTGGGTGCTCAGCTCCAGCAGGAGGACAATCCTATCCATCTTCATGTCCCCACAGGTAGCATGGGAAGGGGAAAGGGGAAAGCTCAGCAAATGTTATATAAACAAAGACTTCCCTCCCCATGAACAGGACTTCCAGGATCCAAGCCTAAAGTGATCTCCCAGCTGGAGCGAGGAGAAGAGCCATGGGTTCTGGACAGGAAGGGGACAGAGGAGAGCCAGGGCCGGGAGCACGGCTGCTCAGGTGAGTAAGGGTAGCTGGCCCCTCCTTCACTGAGGGCTGAGCAGGACTTGAGCAGAGCTGTGGACCTCACTCAGGCTGAACTGCTGATAGCAGTGGCTTCCATCTGGGGCAAGCCGTATCAGGCCTTACCTGGCAAAGGAGTCTGTGGGCTGGGGTTGTGAGTTAGGTGACAGGTCAATGACAGGAAGTGAGCGTAGTAGTGAATCTTGAAGGGTTAACATGCAGAACCACATAGAGGTGAAATTGGGGCATGGCTGTAATGATTTTATCCTGGCCAGAGGGACTGGTCAGCTAGGTTTGGTCCTAATGGGACATTTAGTTTTTTAGGATTATCTGATTGATTTAGAAAAGAAGAACAGGCCAGACACGGTGGCTCATGCCTATGATACCAGTACTTTGAGAGGCCGAGGTGAGAGGATTGCCTGAGCCCATGGGTTCGAGACCAGCCCGGGCAACTTAGCAAACCCTCACCTCTACAATAAATTTTACAAAAATTAGCTGGGCGTGGTGGCGCATGCCTATAGTTCCGGTTACTTGGAAGGCTGAGGCAGAAGGATCACCTGAGCTCAGCAGGCTGAGGCTATCGTGGCTGTGAGTGTGCCACTGCACTCCAGCCTGGGCAAAAAAGAGTGAGACTTCAAGTCAAAACAAAAAAGAAAGAACAAAGCATTCTAAATGCAGAAGAGAGGTTTCTCAACCTGACATTCAAGATAAAGGGGGTTGAAAGCTCACTGTTTCAGCTCAAGAACAAGACAGGAGCCCACCATCCCCATATAACATTGTACTGGGGTTCTTGAGTGAAATAAGGCAAAATAAAACTAAAACCATAAGTATTAGAAAGGAAAAAGAAAATTGTTTGCAGTTCATGTGATTGTCAATTTGGAAAAGAATTTATTAGAATTCACAAGAGAAATTACCAGTTTTGCTGGATACAAATTAGTTGTATTTCTGTTTGTCAGCAACAAGCAAATTTGTAATTTTTTAAAAGGTAACATTTATAATAGCGTCAGGAATATAAAGTATCTAGGAATTAATCTAAGGAAAGATGTCCCAGACCTTTATGGACAAAATTATATAAAGAAAGGTGGTATAAATACACAGATCTGATACTAAAGGCTGTGTTCAGTTGATTTATGTGAATAACTTCTGACTTCAGGAAGGGTGATGTCTGAGTCTTGGGAAAACCTCAGTCAGCCTGTCCTGCCCAGTATGTTTCCCCTCAGGGTGGGTGGGGAAGACATGGGCAATACCTCCATTGGCTGATCAGCTTTAGCATCTCAATTGTGGCAGTTTTCCCCTTGAAAGCTGTCCCTTGTTTCTAGAGATTCTGTGGACAAGGTACTAGGTGCTACAATCTACCTTTTTGGGGGCTACAAAATTAGATGTCCTCAGAGAAATTTAATTTTCCAGTGACTTAAACAAGAAGACACAGTATCATGTCGTGGAAATATTACACAGACCTTCTGTTTACTGACTGCAGCCTTAGGAGGCTAGAAAATAGGACAGCTTTGTGAAGCTGTTACCAAACCAGATCTGTGCTCTTGGGTGGCCAGCTGTACGTTACCTGATGGACTGCTTAAATTCCCTTTAAGTGCCCTTTGAATCTGATGCCAAAGAGACTGTGAAATTCTCCAGGAGCATGGTAGGTTAGAGATGAGAAATTTTTGCACAGAAGCACCTGGTTGCCTTACCTCAAGCAGAGACCGCATAGCCAGGCATGGTGGCTCATGCCTGTAATCCCAGGACTTGGAAGACAAAGGAGAGAAGATTGCCTGAGCCCAAGGGTTTGAGACCAGCCTGGGTAATTTGGTGAGACCTTATCTCTACAGTAAATTAATTTTTTTAAAAAATTATCCAGGTGTGGTGGCTGAGGCAGGAGAATCCACTGAGCCCAGCAGATCAAGGCTGCGGTGGCCATGAATGTGCCACTACACTCCAGTCTGGGCAACAGAGTGAGACTACAACTCAAAAAAAAAAAAAACGGAGGCCACAGAAAACAATGAACTGAGCCAGTTTTAGATTAATTATGTGCATATAAGTACAAACTGCCTGCCACAGCCTGGATTGCCACTGCTGGCATCAGAGGAGCAGAATGTACCATTGCCTTGTCCTGGCAGTTCCTCAGGATAGATGAGTGTGTGCACCTCCCTAGCCTTGCCCATGCTATTTTTAACTAAGTGAATTACACTTATATGTTGTAACAGCAATGAAAGGATTTTCCAAGGGGAGTGTTTTGTTGTCACTGAAACTCTCTATTCCTTTTCCAGACAACCTCAGATGTGACCACACTGCATCCTGTATGCAACAAGACAGTTTATTTTGTCCATGGGGTAAGTGTATATCTGATTTTTTTTTTTCAGTGCAATCCCAGAAGGTGTTAATGCTAACATTTTACCAGAAGGCAGAGATTACCCAGGCTGCTAAAAAGCTTGTTATACAATTCCTCCAAATGCTACAAAACACCAGACAGGGGTGTTTGTTTGTTTGTTTGTTTGTTTGTTTGTTTGTTTGTGGACGGTCTTACTCTGTCACCCAGGCTAGAGTGCAGTGAGTGGCATGATCATAGCTCATTGCAGCTTGGAACTCCTGGGCTAGGCAGTTTTCTCACCTTGGCCTCCTTAAATACACTGCAATTATAGGCATGAGCCACTGCACCCAGCCAATTTCTTTAAATATTTATTTCAGTGGAGTGACGTTTTTTCCCTTTATTTGTTTTGCTACACTTAAAACATACTTCCCTACTCTATCCTTAAAACAACAACTGAAGCCATCATCCTGAAAGCCAGTGGCTCTTGGCTCAAGCTCAGCTTCTGCATAGTGTGGATGCAAGGTGCAGTCAGGTGTGGCCTGTCGCCAGCCTTCACAGCAGCTTGAGTCCATCTTGCTAACATCACATGATCCTTTGTGCCATGGATGATTGTGAGTAACCGTCTATACAATTTTTTTATTATTATTATTAGCATCATCTTAAGCATCTTGTTATTCTACCATCAGGTCAGAAGTCACCCATTTAGGAAACCTCAAACAATAGAAATGATACTTTTCAATGCAAATGAGTAATTATTTATTTGGTCTACAGGCTTTTTTCTGTGAAGATGAGGCTTATAAGTTTTTTAAAAAATTGTTTCTATCAGTTTAAAAAAATAAACTGTTTCTATCAGTTTAGAAAACACATAGAATAACTTTCTAACATGTGATATTAAGAACCTTAATAGACAGATGACAGTGAATTGAGATTTTTTAAAATGAAGAATCTGTTAAATCTCGTTTCAATTTATCAGTACACTTAATCAATAAATCGCTCTGAAGAGAGTAAAAAGACACAGAAACACCCAATAAGAAAAGTGGCACAACACTTGAACAAGTTTCTGATAGACTGGGAAAACCAAAGGGTCAATAAACAAGGAACATTCTCAGCCTCGTTATTCATCAGTAAAATGGAATTCAAAACCACTATGATACATCATTTATATTTTCAGAATGGAAAAAAACTGAAAGATCAGAAAGTATCGAGTGTGGCTGTAGAGCATCTAATGGGGACGTAAATTCACATAACCATTTTGAGAAACAGTTTGACATTATCTAATGAAATTGAAAATATGAATTCTTAGGTTCACTTCTTCCACTCCTGCAGGCATATAGAAAGAACATTTGTGTGTGAGCACCAGAAAACATACAAGAATCTTTATAGAAGTATGCTTCACGATGGAAAAAGTGAAAAATACAAATGTCCTTCAACAGTAGAAAGATAAATAAACTATGTGTTTCAATATAATGGAATATACTGCAGTAAAAATAATTGAATAACTGCTACAAAACAACACAATACATAACAACACAAAGGGTACCTGGTCCTAAACCAGGGGAAGTGAGGACCAGTTGGAGGCCCAAACTTCACCTGCATATAGATTACTTATGTACCTAATCCTGATTTGTACCCCACATCTTTTTAATAAAATAAAGTTAAAAAAAAACACAATGGATATCAGGAACATAATGCTTAGAGGGGAAGAAAGTTGCAGGAGACTGCACCATGGAATTATAGAAAGCTCAGAAACATGAATAATTAAATTGTTATTTAGATATACAAACTTTTAAGATGAAACTATTTTTTTTTAAAAGCAAGAAGGCTTACAATTCCAGTCAAGATGTAGTATCAGGGACCAGAGTTATGCTGCCACTTGAAACTGCTGAAAATCTGGACAAGATATGTGAAACACATCTCTTGAGATGTTCAACATCAGCCTCTCATTGGAACAGTCAACAAGAGAAAATGATCCCTGAGAAACAGGAAGCAAAATGTGCCCTGCAATTGCCCCAACTCACTCACACTTAGAGAAAGCCACGCAGAAATGGAAGCATGATAGAGTTTATTAGTCTCCTTGAGTTGAAAAGACAGAGCTGGGAGTCAAATGGAAGGGTAACAGAAATCAGTTTTACAAAGAGATTTTTGGAAATCTGCAGAGAATCCCCCTTGAATATTCAGTTGAATACTGATTAGCAAATGCATGTGAAGAAATTGTCCAAGGTCAAGAGTCACCAGAAGGAATTAGAGGGAGTAGTACCTGTGGTAGACAGAACTTAAGATCTCCACCATCTGTGTACATATTCACCAGGACTATGAATATGATGGGTTTTACTCTCACGATTAGATTCTGTTATATGACAATGTTTCCTTTAAAAAATACAAAGTAGGCTGGGCTCCGTGGCTCAGCCTGTAATCCCGCGCTTTGGTAGGCCGAGGTGAGTGGATTGCCTGAGGCCATGTGTTCGAGACCCGCCTGGGCAACTTGGCGAGACCTCATCTCTACAATAAATAAAAAAATTAGCCAGGTGTGGTAGCGTGCACCTGTAATTCCGCGCGTCTGTAATTCTGGCTACCTGGAAGACTGAGGCGGAAGGATCGCCGGAGGACAGTAGGTCAAGGCTGCAGTGGCCAGGAGCAGCCACTGCACTCCAGTCTAGGCAACAGAGTGAGACTCTAACTCAAAAAAAAATAAGAGAGAGAATACAAAGTAGCTGGGCTCTGTGGCTCAGCCTGTAATCCCGTGCTTTGGGAGGCTGAGGTGAGTGGATTACCTGAGCCCGCGGGTTCGAGACCCGCCTGGACAACTTGGCGAGACCTCATCTCTACAATAAAAAAAAAAAAAATTAGCCAGGCGTGGTAGCGTGCACCTGTAGTTCCAGCTACTTGGAACGCTGAGGTGGAAGGATCACCAGAGCCCAGCAGGTCGAGGCTGCAGTGGCCGGGAGTGGCCACTGCACTCCAGTCTGGGCAACTGAGTGAGACTCCAACTCAAAAAAAAAAAAGAATACAAAGTGCCAGACATGGTAGCTCATGCCTGTAATTTCAGTACTTTGGGAGGCAGAAGTGAGAGGATTGTCTAAGCCCAACAGATCAAGGCTATGGTGGCCGTGAACATGCCACTGCACTCCAGCCTGGGTGACAGTGAGACTTTGACTTAAAAAAAAAAAAAGTATAAAGTACTTTAAAACTGGATTTAGAGATCAGAGCCAGGAGCCAGAGATTCAAAGTATAAGAAGGATTTGATGAACCATTGCTACATTGAAGATGGAGGAGGGCATATATGGCAAGAAATGTAGGCAGTATTTAGAAGCTGAAAGCAGCTTCCAGCTGACATCTAGCAAGGAAACAGTCACCTTGGTCCTATAGCTACAGGGAGCTAAATTTTGCCAATGAAAGAATGAGCTTTAGTATTGGATTTATCCCCCAAGCCTCCACACAAGAACTTAGACTGGCCAACCCTTTATTTTAGAAAGTGAAATTCTGAACAGAGAATTTAGGCATACCATATGAAATCATGGCCTGCAGAACTAATACGTGGGTGTTGTTTTAAGCTGCTGAATTTGTAGTAATTTGTAACATGTCAATAGCAAACTAATGCATTGCCCAGTGCTCACAAAAGACTGGGAATACTATCTGCTCTTAAGAGCCATAGTAGAAAACCTCATAATTCACAGGGCATCAGAGTACTAAGAAAGGTCTTGTCTCAGAAGTAAAATAACTCCTTCTACTATTCTGGTCCCACCTAACAAAGCTTAATAAAAGCATGACCCCAAAAAACATGGTATTTTCTTTCCTTTTTTTTCTTTTTCTTTTTTGAATTGGAGTCTCACTCTGTCACCCAGGCTGGAGTGTGGTGGCATGCTCGCAGCCACCACAGCCTTGACCTGCTGAGTTCAGGTGATCCTTCCATTTCAACCTTCCAAGCTGGAACTACAGACATGTATCACCACACCCAGCTAATTTTTTTTTATTTATTGAAGAGATGAGGACTCACCAAGTTGCCCAGACTGGTCTCCAAACCTGTGGGCACAGGCAATCCTCTTGCCTCCACCTTCCAAAGTGTGGGATTACAGGCATGAGCCACTGTGCCTGGCCATGCTATTTTTAAGTAACTTAACAAAACATCAGAACAAAACTCAAGGATATTTATAGGAATACAGAAATACCCAGCACCAAACAAGGTAAACTCTATGATGTCTAGCATCTAATTAAAATTATCAGGCATGCAAAGAAGAAAATATAACCATAATCAGAAAAACTAGTCAAGTGAAACTGACCAGAAATGAAACAAATGTTAGAATTAGAAGACAAGATCATTAAAACATTCCATATGTTCAAGGAGGTAAAGGAAATGTTGAACATATTAAGTTCAACATTTTTAGAGATAAAATGACAATGAAATGTAAAATTCACTAGATGGAGTTAATGTCACATTAGGCATTGCATAAGAAAAGATTAATGAACTTAAAGACATAGCAGTAGGAACCATTGAAAAGAAAACAGAAGAAAGCCTGAAAAAGACCAAAGTTATCAGTGCTGTGAGATATCCTGAAGTGGCCTGATGTACAGCTGACCCTTAAACAATACAGGTTTAAATGGTGCAGATTCACTAGATTGTCTTCTACCTTTACCACCCCTAAGAAAGCAAGACCAGTCTCTCCTCTTTCTCCTCTTTAGCCCACTCAACATGAAGACAACACTCTCACTTAATAATAAATCTATGGCCAGGCATAGTGGCTCAGCCTGTAATCCCAGCACTTTGAGAGGCCGAGGCAAGAGGATTGCCTGAGCCTGGGGGTTTGAGACCAGCCTGGGCAACTTGGTGAGACCTCATCTCTACAATAAATCACAAAGAGTAGCCAGGCATGATAGCTTGTGTCTATAGTTCCAGCTACTTGGAAGGCTGAGGTGAAAGGATTGCCTAAACCTAGCAGGTCGAGACTGCGGTAACCATGAGTGTGACACTGTACTCCAGCCTGGGCGACAGAGTGAGACTTCGACTCAAATACTAATACTAATACT